CATGACCTTGCGCTATGATTTGCTAATATTTTCATGTGTGTTTTGGTATCCGTGTCTCTACACAGCAGAGGGTCAGAGGAAGGTGAGAGGTTGTGAAGGTTAAAGACATGATTAAGGCATCTGTATGTCTAAGTTTTTTTTTATTGTTTTGAAAAAATGTACTTAACTATGAATTGACATTACAAAGAAATTGACTCTTGTTTTAAATGATAAATTGAATAAATCCTTACAAACACATCTGCACTCTTCACACCTACCGTATTTGATCTGTGCAATATCCCCCACCACTATATCAGCCACTGGCAGCTGTATGACCTGGCTACCGCGGACCACCTGGAATTTCTGCTCCTGCTCAATGCGGCTCTGCAGCCCACGGAACTGCTTTTCCTTCGACCAATCGTTGAAGGCCGTCACCAGCACCACACACACCACCGACAACAGGATAGCTGCACCCTCGATCCAGCCGGCATCTGCCTCGCCCTCATCCTCTACCCCACCTGCTGCTGCGCCACAGGCTGTAGTGAAGAAGAGGGAAATTGTAGAGATGTACATTTTCAAGTACACTTGGTTTTCATATGTGCATTTAGACAGAAATGTTTTGACAAAACACATTTAAACTCTGGATAGCAAGTTTTATGCAGATTTTGTTATGCTTATTACTTAAGTGGAATATGAACCCTTTCAAAATAAAAGAGACACAGAGAGATAAAATAACTGCACACTGCACAGTTAAAAGGCTGCAGAAAGCTGACACTGTGTATCTGTGTACATACTGTATATGTGTATAAAGACAGAAAGACAGACAGACAGAGTGAGAGAGAGAGAGAGTAAAACGTGTATAAGTGCAGTTTCTCTTTTCTTTTCTATGTAATATTAAAGGTTATCCTGAAACAAAATTTACTCTGAAATGACCTTCAGAGAATTCACCTCGTCTCTTCATTCATTTGCTCCACTTCAAATGAATGCCCAGCAGTCAGCTGGCGGTGTGCACTCACAGACTGGGATATATTTTGGAATGAAACGAGGCTTATTCCCAGTCCTCCTCGTGCTGCTTCATGTAATACTCTTGGAGCCATTGTGCCCGACACTCCTGGCAAGCTGACTTCAAAAGCCCTCAGTGGGGTGATTTGCTTTGGACTATAAAACACTAGCAGCTCACAAGGGAACTAGTGCCGACCCCAAATTATACACAATAGATATGCAGTGTCTGCTTTAACCAAGAACTGGACTCCAGGAGCATTTGGGACTTTCTGGTACATTGCAGAGGGTTTACAATCAATATGATGTTCATTTAGTGGTTCCATACAGTAAGAGACTATACAGTCTTTGATCTGACATACTACCAGGACCAAACGACATATACGCGACTCATTATACAGGTAGTGACCGCATTCGAGTGTACACTCGAACACAATCATGAATTTGATGCAATAAACTCAATATCTCGATTTAGGAGTGAGTCTGGGTTTTTCATCCCCCTCTAAATAAATGGTTGAAGAGATATGTTTCTTCAGATAATTTATTATGTTTTTTCTGTTAATAAGAGTTCCCGGTTTTGACGTGTGACAGCACAGCATCTGGGGATTCACAGGTAATCTACCTTCCAGAATTATGCAGCAGTATAGTAAGAGCTGCATTGAGCTTGTTTGGTTGAAGTAGTTCTAAAAAATATGTCATAAACCACGTATTTATTTTACTTAAAAGAACAAAATGAGGAGCAATCCAACAGTGCAAGAGTGAAAACTGTTTGGTACGATGAGTCCAGTCGGTCTTGCTGGGTCATGCATGAAGCATAGAGGGTACAGTAAGTAAAGAAGCTGTCCAAGGTTCTGAGTGTAACAGCTCTTTGTATTTAAAATAAAAGCGTTCTTGTCCCTATGACAGACACAGTCAGGAAGCTCATGTGTAGCTATCCATGGTGCTGAAGCTACAGCACAGAGTGTCATGACTAACATACATGAAAGACAGTCTTTTAAGACTTGGTTTTAAACGGATACAAAAAAAAGATTAGAGGCATAATATTTCCAATTTCACTTGGAAACCTTTTTAAAGCATGTTGGTTTCCATTTCTACCATTACTATGTCCTTTGTAAGGTTTTCTTTTTGTTTCATTGCATGTTGTGTGTTTGATGCAGACACAATAAAGAGCCTCCACGTTCGGCTGTGTCCGGGATGTTTCATATGCAAATGAGAAAGAAGTCATCCCACCACTTTCTATTTCTGGACCCTTTAGCTTCTGTTGACCTATTAATAAACTGAACAGTAAAGCAACACTGACAAATGTTGGCTTTGTGAATGTGTGTGTGTTGATGGATTGAGTTTGGATTCTGAATAGAAATGTCATATACATACATTCATACACACATAAAAGGCACTTAAGAAAACCTTTCATGCACTATAGAATGTGACTGACACAAGAAAATGAGTATTATAACAAATATGTGTATGATGGCTAACATATTACTGACAAAGTTGGATTCTGATCCATATTTTTGTTTTGTGCTTTGAAATATACACTCCACATAAACACACATAAAAATAGTTAAACACACACACACACACGGGTATTTTCTCAATTTAGCCTCAAAGTGTGTATGAATTAAAATCTTAAAGAATTGCTCTGCGTTTCATTTTTCTATTTAAATCCTCTACTATCTTTCTAATATGAGACGAGACTTGCTTAGTGGCACTTTCGTTGTGCCTTAAGTAAAGGGAAGCTTGATTATGTATCTGCAGATTGATGCAGTATATTATCATAATGATCCCTTTTGGCTTTTTCTGCCTTACTTGGACTTGATGATGCAGAGAACTCGGTCCTAAAAGTGATACAGCTATAAAAAAAAAAAAAACTATGAAAAAGAAAAGTGCCGGCTATAACTGACTGTCAAATCCCAATTCACCAATAGTTTTATAACCTCACTACTTGGCTGACTGATCGTTTATTTGCCTTCTCATTAATTTGTTCTAACCAACTGAAAAATGTGATAACACAGAAATGATCTGATTAACTACCCATGCAGGTAAGATAAAGTTAACTACTTTTTCCCTCTCTGGTATTTCTGTTAAACCCCTTAAATTGATGACTGGTCCCCTCTGGCAGGATAACTGAATTCCATTACTGAGATAATGCTAGGAGCAATGACTGATGTTGCTGACTCAGCACCTTGTTATGGTCTCTCTCTCTCTCTCTTCATTTCCTGTTTCACGGCTCACAGGGCTGATGTATGGCGCTGGGAGCTCAAGGTTATTTCTCTACTCAACACTTCATTAACCTTCCCTGTGCCTTTTATACACACATTTAGCACGTTGATAACTCGCACACGCACTCAAGCACAAACACACACACACAAGCACATACAATTACACCTATGGTTGATGAGTCATTTGATCTCTTGAGGCAGGTAAAGTGTGACCTGCCTCAACAATTAAAAAAATGTGTGCATACATGTAGGTGTAAGGGTGTCAGCATGAGCCTGTAATGTCAGAGGAAGTGATATCAGTAGGTCGATGCAATCATAGCCTTTCGCTGTCCTCAGCAGAGATGCCAGAGATAACTGCCCTGGTGTGTATATGTGTGCCTCAAGAACTCAATATGGGGGATGAGGAAGCATTTTCAAAAGACGTGATGTCACAAAAAGCAGCTTCACTCACACTCTCCGCCACTCTCTCCAGGAGGGTGGTAGAAGGAGAGGCCCAGGGAGATCAGGGCAGCGAGCTCCAGGATGATGAGGGTGACGTCTTGCAGGGCTTCCCATACCAGCTGCAGGAAGGTTTTTGGCTTCTTTGGAGGTATCAGGTTTTTACCGTATATTTCTTTTCTCTTGTCCAGGTCAGGTAGGGCACCTGCGAGACCTGATGAAGGAAAACATAGAACAGGTTAATCTCCACTGTATCTCTCTACGAGGCTCAACCGCAGTACGAAATGGTAATAATCTTTTGATATTTCACATTTCATCCAAGTTAATCTTCATTTTTTTTATTCCCACACACAAAAACTTAAAAAAATGTGCAGCTGCCACCTGCAGTCTTTTACACCTATATATATATATTATATTGTTAAAAGCACTGAAATCAATACTTTTTCTTACTTGCTTCTTTCTTCCTCACTCTCAAACCACACCAAGTATCTCTAATTACCAGTTTTAGTCATGGCAGGCCACGGCACTGCATTCCTTATATAATTCTGTTCAAGAGATGAGGGCCCTGTGCTTTGACCTCATCCGCCTCCTCATCCGCCATGAACTACTGTACACAAATATCTCTGGCTCTGAAGAACTTCATACTGGCTCCAGGCACAATTTACTTTTAGAATACAGTCCAGAAAATATGCAGAAGCTCATATAGTGTTGCAACGAGAGTTTCACACTTTCACAAAAGCAACAGTTGAAATTCATTATTTATGCAGAAATACACAAGAGGGACTCTTTGTGTCAGATTTTGCCTTTTTGTTTCTTTTCCATTTCAAGATGCTTCATGTTACTTTTCTTATGGAGGATTTATAATTTCTGAACTTTGAATATTATGTGTTGAATATTGAAATAATAAACGGTTGAGTCTGCGCCTGCGGATGATTGTTGAGTTCAGGTGTTGAAGAGACAAGAAAAACCTTCATAAAAAAGTTCCCCAATACAAAGAACTCCTTTTTCCTTCAATGTCTGACTCCTACTGAAGTCAGCTCCAAAAAAAGCAACTACAGCACTAACTGTAATAATCCATCTGACTATGTCATTCTTGTGTGACTAGCCCACTCACTAGCTTTAGCTTGTTGAAGACAGACTCTATTAGGGCCTAAGGTCATAATTGAAAATCAAGCAGGGTGTAATACAGAATTAGGTCACCTAAAATTCCTTATATTTCTTTTGTTTAAAGCATTTGAGTTGTTGGAGGATTTCAAGAAAGGTTCCACGATTATAACAAAAGTACTTTCAAAATAAATCCATGGTTTCCATGGCCATGGTTTAAATCCACCTCAAATAATAATTGATCTCTATAATAATCTGAATCACTGAATTATAATTTAATGTTTAAAATCTTACAAAAATATAATAACCTTTTCTCCAGAGAATAGGATAACATATTTCATTTGCTTATTTAACATTAACCGGGAAACAAAGCATTAGTAATAATATCAAATCAAGAAAAGCAAAACAGATTCTAACAACAGAGTAAATATAATCTGCAATTGTTTGGCAACTTTGAAATAAAGTAATGTATCGCCTGATTCTGAGAACTGTTTAATTTCACATCAGTTGAATTATAACAATAATTTATGACTCAAGGGTCATGTCTAAATGGTTTTTAGACCAAAGATCAAATGACATCCACATTTGGCAAAATTGCATTGTGGTCCATCCTTTCATCTCTAATATAAGATTTCCTTATCTTTCTCCCATTATGAGCTTTTACATTGAGTACAACATTCCCACAGTATAGTGGATAATAAATACATTGTATCCGTTATAGATAAAGCTGACATTCAGAGAACTAACAACCATTTACAGTAGATGTGTGCTCGGTTTAAACAACTCCAACTAATGAAAAAAGATTTTCATCAAGCCACATTTATTGATTTCTGGTTGGTTCCAGTAGACTAAAGGCATACACAAGCACAGTGTGTATGCCCTATCTCTCTCTCTGTCTCTCTCGCTCACAACTGCAGACATTACCACAGCATTATGTCATGCATGGTGCGTCACTGGGTCTCCCAGGAGTGGCCCTGGATTACACCTGATAACATTGCTGCTGCATGACACCCTATCAAATGGGAATGCATATAACAGTGAGATGACTTATTATCATCTGTGGAAAATATCTGATGATCTGCATTCAGCTGATGCAGCCCAAAGAGGAACAAAGAGAATGAAAGTGTGTGGAAACCAAACGCTTCATTACTACAAAAAATGAGAGAATATACGAAGAGGAATCCGTTTTTTTAAGTCTTGTAAAAAATAAATAAAAATGGAGCAACATAGAGGAGGAAGACGAGGACAGAAGGAGGGCAGGCTGAAAAGAGAACAATTCCCAGCTCATACGTAGGAGAATGCCCTGGTTAGAAATAGATCAGGCTATAAATAGCCTCATTATCCATTCTCTTTTAATTGTCTCTGTGAGAGGACCAAGCATGCTCTCCCATTGATCTCCACAGCACACCGCATCACATCACACACGAGCATGTCTGCGTGTGTGACTGCGTTTGTGGGTGTGGATATGTGTGTGCGCATGGCTCTGTAAATCGTGACCGCCTGCACGTGCTGAGAGTGTTTGTAATAAGGGTGGCCAAGCATGCCTGCGGTTGCTTGCAGTTATCACACGGTAAACCTAGAGCTCTTATAATCACACATTAGCCAGCTCCAGTTTGTGAGATACACAGACACACACACGGACACACACACTACGACACACATGTATGCAAAAGCACATGTTTTAAACATAACCACATTTAGCTTATGTAGAGCCCCCTCCATCTTTAAAGGTAGATCACGTGGACATTACACATGACATTTAACTACATTGTCTGTCAACATTTTATCCAGTGAATATTTAAAAACAACAACAAATACATATACTTATCCTCCGACTCCACATTTCTGTCATCTGTAAAGACACAGGGGAGCTGCTTACTTTAAGCTTTTGTCGGCCGTTTAATGAGCATAGATATGAGATTGTGCATCAGTTCAGCATGTCACTTAACCTTTCTGAAAATGTGATCAGTGTTCTCCTTAAACGCTCTTGAGATGTGAGCAATGCAAGTGATCAATCTCCCAAATCATTACATTCTCACTTCTTCTTGGAAAATCCACGGCCACATTCTCGTTCCTTCCTGGAGTGCTGATTGCAATGCTGCTCAAGATTGTCTTGCCAGATTATGAAATATTGTAGGCTAAATACTGCCAGCCCACCTAAATGCTCTGGCAGTGGATTTTGAGGAGGCAGTGAGAGGGCAGAGAAACTGTGGCGATATACAGATGAGTCACAGCAATCTCGCAGAGGATTAAGGATAATTGCAGAGAAGTAAGTGTGCTGGAGACACATGTAATGTACATGTAATATCTAATAGTACAAGAAAAAAAGATGGAACTCCTTGTACTCTTGTTCATTCTTCTCTTTGTTCAAAAGCTCATTGTAATAGTTGTAATAAAAGTCCAAACTTTAAAAGCCTTGTAGAAAGGAAATTGGAGCCTACCTATAAATAATGAAAAATGAGATGAGAGATGTTGCATTATCATCAGCGTTAAATTGCAGTTCCCTTTTAAGACAGTCAGCCGATGGACTTAAAACAAACTGTGCGCATCCTGCTGACTCAGCACATAAAGTAAAATCCATCCACTGTGCCAGGAATGCACCCCGGGTTTTAATCTTATTTATGAATTTGGTTGCATGCCATCACACTACTCTCCCATATTTTCAGCCACTTTCCATTGAATACTAGCTAATGAAGCAGCCATGCTAAATAATAAATAACATGTGGCTGTATTTGATTGTATGCATTAAATGACAACAGGGACACATGTTGTGCAGCACGAGCTAAGCATGAACTTCTCTGAGTTAAGAGGAAGGCTAACCAAATATAGTACACCTGCTTCTGTAAAGAACAGAAAAACATTTCTTTATGAGCCTCTGTGTTGTTAAAACATCTAAGAGGGCTGACCTGCAGTTTGGCTAAAGCACAACACTTTAGCATGATATAAAGGGACTTTATTATTAAAAATGAAATGATTAGCTATTATCTGTAAATAAAGGTTTGTTGTTCTATCGATTAATCTACAAAAAAAGAAGCAGCATTTATTTTGTTGTTTTTTGGGGAGGAAAAACAAAAGCAAAGGTATGTAGTTTGATAAGATGATATGACCTAGGCAGCAGAGTCCGGGCTTCTGAGTAGACGGAGCTCCGCCAACCTTAAGCAAAGTGATCTGGCACTACTACCACCCGACACCCTAACCAGTCAACACAATGGGACCGTGTCGTACCCTCATTCATGCACGGCCTGCTTCTAACTCAAACTTAGTGAGTGTGGACAACAGGAACACTAGGAATACATCTTAAGGCCCTGACACACCAAGCAGACAGCAAAGAACTAGTGTGGACGAAGGCCGCCTGTGGCGTCGCCTCATGTCGCAGTTTGTCTTGGCCAAAAAGTTGCACTTGAACACACCGCAAAGACTACAGCAGACGGCCAACCACCTCATACGTTCTGCACATGCGTGAGAGGAAATAACTCTCCATGCCAGCAGGTGGCGGTAGTCCGTTGTTATGATACAAGAAGACAATTTTCACAGCGCTGTCGCGCTCCACTCGTATTATAAATTTAGGTAGCCTACTAACGGAGAATAAAATGTTAAAAATGGCACTGGCTTTGTGGGCCATGGGTCTTTTAGTGCAAAAAGAAAAGAAGAGGGAAAAGTGACAAATAAGGAGAAACCGCACTGAAGGGTGAAAGAAAGGATACTACAGCGGCATGCTCAAGGGGCTTTCCTGAACTTATGTCGAGAGCTGGAGATAAATGAAACCTCTGAACAGCCAATCAGAGAGATTCCTCTCACCGATGCTGATTCAACATGTCCAATCGGCCAAAAAATCACCGACGGGGGCTGACAGGTAGCGACGGAGCCGGACACACCGCAAAAACTACGGCGACGACCGCTCACCAACGGTTCTAGAACAACGATCTCCTTGGTGTGTCAGGGCCTTTACCCCATCTCCCCCTATTCCATTTTCTTAACAATGGGTAGGCTATGGTCTTTTACTTGCTCTTTTGTAAAGCGTCTCAAGAGAACACTTGTTATGAATTTGGGCTATATCAATAATGATTGATTGATTGATTGATTGATTGATTGATTGATTGAGAAGCAATT